TGAAACTGTGGCTTTGAACTCATCCCAGAAACGTCAAAACCTTGAATACCAACGGCTCCTGCAATAATAGGTAAGTATGATTGCTGTTCACCTAGCCAGTAAGGTTTTACTGTCAAGCGACAGTTCTGGGTATGAAAACCCTAACCAGGAGACTGGGTCACATAGGTCCCGTTAGGCTCTCTGGCTGGGGACCTCGGGATGATCGTAACCGATGGTTAGCTACACTGAGTGATATGGCTGGGTGTCGCAAACAGTGGCGCTCGTGCATCCACTCGTTATTTTCCTAACACCGCTCTATATGTATTCCCCATCTTCCGCTTGAATTTGCTTCGACATTCCAATCTTCATTTCGCTCTTTTATCCAAATGGGCAACCAAAAGACAGTAACCAAAACCGGCGCACGAAAGTGCATAGTTAAAGGTTGTAAAAACTGAAACTGAAACTTTCCTAGTCCCATTTGGTCGAAACATGAAGAAGTAAGCCAGAGTTGAAAACTAAGCAAACCACATCTGGTTAGGTGAGTAAACACACGAGCATCACTGTTCATGACACTGATTTATGTCACTTAGTATCTCGAAGCATCGGTTCGACCGATCACAAGGTGCCAACCAGGAAGTTGAATGGGAATTGTAGGTACGAGTCCCCTGGTTAGGCTGTTATTACCCTCGTGTCAAGTCTCATGCTGATCACCGTTATCCTTCTTACAAAAGCTGTCTGTCTCAGCAATAAGTACATGCCAATCTGATAGCATGCGCAAAATGCAGCCGTCATCGCAATCTATGGAAGTATTATTGTGACTGCCACTATCTACTACAATTCGCTTAATCCTGGCGTTTCCCATTAGTGCAATACGGAGTCGATAGCGGACAGACTATCGTCTGTCTTTATCTCGTTCCTATACAGCAGCACTAACCGCACTATGGCCGCCGACACTTGACCTTTCACAGACAACTAGATGTCGCGGCGGTATTGTTGGTGTCTTAGGTTGGCATACAGCAGTCGAACTTTCTCCATGCGTGAACAAGTTTTATCCAGATTTAGTCTACTCTCATTGTCACATCCCCATTGGAAGGAAATTGAAAACTGGATAAACCCAACCCTGTAAGATTATTTTAGACAGAAGTGGAAAATTGACATGAGTGGCTAAGCTAACAGCATTCAGATAGGACTGTGACTCCCCGAGCTTCACTTAATAGCATACTGTATTTTGGGCACGGCAATCCTCGTGAGAGTAAAGGATCGTTTTCAAAACTACAAAGTTGAAAAGAATAGAGAAGGTAGTATTAAAGAATTCCACTTTCCGAGATGTATTCATGAGAAAAAGAGCCCAAGCTCCAAACCGGGGTCGGCTGTTCGCATACTGGGATCGTGATAGAATTACCTGCTCTGTACATCTATCAAGAAGAGGCGGGTTCAGTGCTCAGGGCCGTCGATAGAGTCCGATCTCGCCGTTATATCAACGAAGATAGAAACAGAGGGATGTATGCTTCAATAATTTGATGAAGGATGGAAATATACTTGATGCACCCCAAATACGGGTCTAAAACTGGCCTGTTTCACACATTTGCACTGTTCGTGTGTGACCACCGATGGAGTAAGATAGCAAAGTGAATCTTTGAAACCACGTTAAAAGAGATAAGTGTGCAGTTATTTTCAGAAGAATTTTGTTCACTTTCTTGCAAATCGGTATGGATGCTGACTGACACCATACATTGGGGGAACTGTCCACTTTCCCAGGAGTTTCGTTAACTCTTACCATACAACAATCAATTCAGGCATATAAACGATGCCGACACCTGGTGTCCAAGAGCAGGCATCATCAAGTGAACAAAATGCTCACAGAACTACCGATCAACAGCATCCGTCATCTGAATAACAGATATCTGCTCTCATTTGCTTATTTTCATTTACAAACCTTTGCCTCAAACTTTTGTTTTAAATGCATCATTTCTTTTTCTTTTTCCAGCATTCTAAATGCATCCGCTGACTGTGCACAGACACTGTGACTATCGAAAACAATTCGCCCCGGACGGGTATCAAAAACTACGGGAATAAAACGGTACGATTAATAATTTGTCTACTTCGTTGTGGGGCAGTTTGCGTGTGACATGATAAATCACACGATTGACTAGAATTGGATTCGCGGAAAAACACAACCAGAACGCATTCAGATGACACGAGAGAGTAGCTGAAGTTTGAGGGGGAAATACGAACCGAGTATTTGCGTGTTGAACGCGTATGCGTACACTCACTGTTTCAATCCAGACATCGTTTTTCTCATTGGACTGCGAATCAGGAAAACCGAAGTTACTGGGTACTAGGATGAAAAGCACGGCGTTTCACATGCCGCGCTATATTTATCTTCCATCTGCTGGAAACGGGGTACACTCTGCCCAACAGTCCACCTGATCCACGATATGCATTGTCACGGTGCGTTAAATAATACTCTCTTTTTGCGCTTACGTGTTTTGCTTTGAGAGGATGAAATGAACCCGAAGTATTTTCTGTGGGTTCAACTAGTGCTTGGTTTCGGAGGTGGATCGGGTAATTGTGACCGATTAAATTAGCTTTAGCGCGGTGTAGCTTCTACAGCACATCGTTGCATTAACCAATGAACATAGTACGGGAATGGTGTACTGCATAAACCCATCTCAACGATGTAGTCCAAGTTAAGCGAAATTCTCTGTGAAGTAATAGACGAATAGAGAGGGAAAACTAATTTTGCAATCAACGGATAATAAAAGAACCACAAAGGGAAAGAATAATGAGTGACATCTTTTGTAATGTAATTTAATGTAATCGGGAATGGCACCATGAAACCACCTTTGGTCTTTAAGGCGTCTTAATTCCAGATGTATACAAGTTGAGTTTTCAATGCACGCTCATGATCACCAAGTTTATTTGTAACCATCAAAAGCACGGCAAAAGATAAACATAATCTGTTTCGCCCGTATTTTCGCAGTACAAACTAGTTAGGATTTTTTGTTCGTCTGGCAGTCCATCAAGGAGCTGATTGAAAAGTGCCAAGGTGACAGTCGGCTTACTTCACCTGACTTGATGGAGAGGGAAAGCGAGAAAAAAGAACTGAGATCATGTGAGATTGTCGAAGAACCCATTATACGGGGTAATCCGCAAAACACGTCTAATTATGCAAAAGTGAAACAAACCAGTGGAAGTAATTAGTGGGAAAGAGGATTACACGTGAGCCCTCGTGTGAATAAAGCTTGTGCTTATTGTTCCTTGTTCATTAAAAAACAGGAGCAACAAAAAATGGAACGGAACAGGAAAAAAAGGATTCAAACGAATAAGGAATAGCTGATCAACGGGAGGAATGAACCGCAAGAACGTAATCACAAGCAAGTCCATACACGTACAGATACTTTCTGTGCTCCGTTGGGCGTCTCGCATCAATACTATTGTTTACATGGGGGGATGCGATAGAAAATTGGCGGATCATAATAGTGTACACAAAATGCCCCCGCCGTGTGGACGCAATTGCATTCAACAATCTTTGGGAAACAAAAGCTGTTCGCGGCTTTTACAAACAACTGTTTTCAGTGTAAGGGAGTGGAACGTTACTGAGCACCAATGTAGCTGTTGAAATGTCTTGAAGATGAAAAACACGAACAGCTCCTCGGCAGAGGGAGGGAGATCGGTTACGAAACGAGTGCATCATCAATAAGGGGTGCATATGTGCAATTAAACACATCTGACAGTCACGGGCGCGCTCGCGCACAAGTTGGCACAAAAAAATTCCCAGCCGCAGATAAGAACACGTGCCGAAGGATCTACCAAGACACGCATCCAAATCACTCCGGTGGGCAGATAGCTACAATCTCACGATCTGAAATGGGGGATTCACAACTGATGCCAGTACATGTCTGTGAACAGATGCACTGTTCGAGGTGAAACAGACTGAGTGGAACAAAAGGGAGACGGGATTGCAGAAGCGACAAGGAAACAGGAGGCAATCGCAGAGCACCATAGCAATCGCTTGCAAAATGGATATCAGGTCGCAACTGGAGAAATGTATTAATTGTCCAGGAACTGTGCGGTCGACCGCGATCAACTACTCCAAGAAGAGAATGAAAGAAGCTTCGGTTTATGAACGATAAATTTAGTTTATTATCGCTGCAAGGGAAGGGGGCTGATAGAACCCTGAATCATGATGCTTTTCTCCTTGCATCGAATGACTGTGCCTGTGGGTCTGGGATGCAAGTCCAATATTACTAAATAAACATACCCAAAGAAAACAAAGAACAAACAAGCTCGTGTAAACAAAAACAATGTAGTAGGTAGATAAATATGTTCGTTCTTCATGATGTTCGAACGATACAGGAGGGCTCGAAAGGAGTGAAAGCACTATGGTATATTTGAATTTTCGTGTTTTCCATCGCGTTTATCATCAACATCGTCTCAATGCGTGCATATGCATACTAAGCAGATGGGTGGGAAACATCATGCTGACAAATCAAATAGATAGCATAGAGTTACACGTCACAAAAGGATATCGTGCCATGAAAGGTAGTAGGACAGGAAAAGTGTATCGACCAGGAAGAAAGCGGTGCGAGTCAGCACAAAACAATGCATGGAATAAGATTAGCGACAATGAAGAACAGAATGGACACATAACTGAATGAATCGGAAATAATACGACCGGAAACAACAGAACGGTACAATGAGTGAGCGGGTAGACTGGAGACGGAGTAATGAAGCCACAGTTTCCTTCATTCTTAGTCGGATGAAGAAATAAAAGAAGGGAAGATGGAAATTTGGAGATGAACAAATCAGTATACTGAATGAGCTGGTTGATTTGTATTCTACATCAGCTATCATATAACTTGACACCAGCAAAACGTGCGATTACTCAAGGACATGAGTGCATGTACACAATCCAACCGAGAACGGGATACAGATTACGGTGAGGGTAAGAGAAGATTGAGTTGTCAATAAACTATGTACACATCAGAAGGACAAGTGAGCAGCTTCAAAACGCAAGATCAATTCAGAGCGGCCACCATTGATCCGGTACTGGATTTACGTGAAACTACACCCGGTATGGTTCCCGTGGGTGCCGTTGATTGGGACACCACGGCAGCAGCAGCAGCTGCTGCAGCCGCCGCCGCGGCGACTACTGCAACACTGTCCGAAATAAGTGGCTCCGCATCACGTTTGATAGGTGGTTCATGAGGAGTCAAGTCCATAGGAAACAACGCTGAACTGACAGGATCATTTTGTTGGCTATGATGTCGTTTGGAGCCTATCGCGTCCCGTGGGAGCAACGTGAACGGACCGGGCATAGCGCCTGTTGAATATCGATTGCTTCTTTGATGATCAATCACTGCAACGGTCGAAGTATCTGGAATGCACATGGTAGTGGTTGCAGAAACATCACTGTCTGGACGAACTGGGGTTGATAAACAACGCAATTTGGTTATCCTGTGTGAAACAGGATCTGTGCGCGGTAACCATTGTACGCTGACAGAGCTAGACTGAACAGGTTGGTTCGTTCCATCTTCATTGTCCCGTTTGGGAGGCTATGAACAAGATAACGAACAGATCATGAAACATATAAATCCGGTAGGTTCAGTATTACCGACTTAAATAATTTGAATTTTCTACTATCACTCGTTTTTTTTAAATGGGTAAATCAATGGTAAGATTATATCAGTCTCATAATCCGAATAGATGCGACAAGATCAACTTGAGCAATGCCAGAAAATTGCTTTCCAATGTAGCATCAATAAGCCTGTTAGAAAGCCCAAGTGTGCAGTTCAATTCTGATCAGACTCCTCAAAATCGTACCGTGTTTTATTTATAGTTGCTATACATCAAAAAGAAGTTGGAGCAAAGAAACTTGTGTGGAATATACACAACAACCAAAAATAATACCAGTAACATAAAGAGAAAACCAAAACAAATCACCATCTTTCTTTTTCTTTTTTCTTTTTCATTTTACTTCCTTTTATTGAATATACAAAGATACAATTTTCAGGAAGGGGGAAGCGGCCAATCAGAGGGCAGCCATACAACACACAAATGGGGAAAGTCAGGCGGTGGTGGTGGGATTCGAACTCTCGTCCTCCGGGGTGATAATTGGTGACGTTACCACCGGGCCACCACTGCCCAGTGGCTATATAAATATGTATATTGGTTTTATCTATGCATTGCATTTGATCCTGCTTTACTTGGTTGTTGTTACTACTCTATGTATGCTCGGATGTACGGGATGTATTACGGAACACTTATGCTACCAATCTTTTAACGAGCAGTGTTCTTCTTTGCGGCACACATCACACGTTGTTTTTCTAAGATCCAATTCACCAGTCCGGAAGACCAATTGGGCCTTCAATCGCAACATTAAAAACGGCATTCGACTAACTGGAGCTCGCGTAACCAGCAACTCAGTGCGATCGTACTCTGGTTCTAT